CATGAAGAGCCACTGGCAGTTCTCATCTTGGTTATCACTCCTTCTACATTTCAAACCCTAAAGTATTATTTTAACATTCCTGAGTTCTGTTGAGGGTTTTTGGGGCAGCAGCTGCAGCAGAACCAGATTTATTCAGTTCTAGTTCTGTGAGCGGTGCAGACTGAGGAGGAGGAGGAGGAGGAGCTCCTGGGTCAAATCTTTCATTTGCCTCTGAAAACAGAAAGTGGTGTGGGCGGCGGCAGCGCTCAGTTCCTGCCGACGGCCTCTTCAGCGTCGCCTTCGATCACATCACGCTTCAGACCGGATCAGGTTCTGAACAGATTTATAGTTTTTATGAGAAATACAGAAGTAAAGAGCGAGCGTGGCTTTAAATGAACACGCCAATCTAAAATCAGGACTGAACTCTTCAACTTTAGTTCAACTACAGAAGACAAACGAGCTAAAAAGATTTAAAAGTTGGAGTTACTGGGAGAGATCATCTCTCTCCAGTTTTAGTTTCTCTCCATTGGCTCCCTGTCAAATCCAGAACTGAATTCAAAATCTTACTTCTAACCTACAAAGCTCTCAACCACCTGGCTCCATCTTATATTACAGATCTTATTGTTCCATTTTTTCCCAACAGAGTACTTCACTCTCAGGCTGCAGGTTTACTTGTGGTTCCTAGAATTTACAAAAACAGAGTGTGAGGCAGATCTTTCAGTTCTCAGGCTCCTCTCTTGTGGAACCAACTTCCAATCTCTGTCCGTGAGGCTGACACATTGTCCAGTTTTAAAACTGGGATTAAGACTTTCCTTTTTGATAAATCCTAGTTAGGGTCGGCTTGGGTTTCCTGAGCTGTCCCTTAGTTCTGCTGCTATAGACTTAGACTGCTGGAGGACAAACTGACCATAATTTTCTCTCTGCTACTGTCTTTACTTACTCTGCTCAACCTGTTTTGTATTTGTAATTATTTTTTCTATCCTTGACATGTTTTTGTCTTTCAGATACACCTGGACCTGGACCTATACCTGGACCTATACCTGGACCTATACCTCGACCTATACCTGGACCTATACCTGGACCTATACCTGGACCTATACCT